TTTCCAACCAAACGATTCTATGAGTCTATGACAGGCTCCCTGCAGCCCCAGGGTCTGCTCCAGAGCCACTCCTGGGGCAGCCACACCCTCCTGTGCCACCACCTCGGGGTCCCGCTTGGTTCCGAGCACTGATGGTGATGGCAAGTTTTGCCTGCAGTGTGATAAAGCATGACCACTTGCACATCGGTGTGGGATAAGACCTGGAGTTCAAACAGCAGGAAAAAGCATTACTAAGGGACAGACATGACCAAGCTGATGCATCTCCTAGCCAGGATCTAACATGGGCGGTTGCACTCAGCCCCTTCACTCCCCCTGCAATCTCAGCTAGACACCTTTTTTAAAAAAAAACCCCAAAACTGCACAAAGTGATTTTTTGGTAGGAACTGTCAGGCAGTTGCCCCATCCCACCCCAGGGCCAGCTGCATTTTGACCCTAGGTGCAGCTGCCCCTGTGCTCTGAGAAAGCAGCAAGCACAGGTACAAGCATGTGCCCCTGCTGCTGCCATGGACTCAGGCGGACGGGCAGCTGTAGAATCATAGAATCATCTATTATATTAAGAATTTTTAATGGAAACAGCTCTAGGCAGGTGTCACCAGCTTAAAAAACCCAAGAGTTCCAGGGAGAGCAGGAGGGAGGATGAACCACATCTTCAGCAGCAGGAACAAGGCAGAGGCTTGACATTTCTGTAACAGCAGCAAATTTGTGTGTTGATTGGGACGTATAATTGTCTTCCCAGGGAGATGGTAAGTGGCTGTGGCTCCCTGCCTCTATGCCAAGCTGGATCACGCTGTGCTCTCACTGCTACGTGGTTTTGCTTTTGCAGAGCTGTCCTTGGGCAGTGAGAGGGGAGCTCCTGCCATGACACTCCCACAGAGCTGCAGCTCTGGCACCCCGCTCCTTGGGCAACTTTTGTACAGAATGAGGAGGGAGATGGATTTGTTCAGGGTAGGAAAATCCTGTGTCACTTCCAGATCACTGGACCCACCAGAGGCAACGCTGGGAGGATCCAAAGCCTATGGCAGCAGTTTTACATCTAGTGTTATGAAAGACTTTAGCAAACCTGATTTCCAGCGCTGTGAGTAGAAAAACACAGGTGAAACAAGTGAAAAAGTGAACTGGGCTCCAGCCTGGAGACTTATTTCTGGTCTTACAGAAGTGACTTCAGCTGGTACCTGCAGTCACAGCGCAGCCAGCACAGGGTGGGCTGAACAAGGAGGTGGCTCTGCTGCCTGCGTGGCCCCACAGAGCAGCCTTCATGGGAGTGCGGGGTGGATGCACATGCCTTTCCTTTAAAGGCGATACAGCCACTGACCTCTGCCACCCCATGGGAGTGACACTGGCAGGAGCTGGCCGTGTCCAGCTGCTCCCTGTCTGCACAGCCTGGTGCCACCAGCCAGCTCCTCTGCGGCAGGATTTGGTGCTGTGGGGTGATGCAGCTACAAGTGTCACCTCTCCCACCTCCCTGCCCAGTGCGTTGCTATGCCACCCAGCCCCTGGGACTGCTGGCCATTGGGCTGGTTTATAGCCAGACCTGGTGACATCCCATGAGCCACACTGAGCTGGGACAGGACACAAAGACCAGAGCTGGGGGAAGCAGCTACCCTGGAGCAGAGGAACAGCAGGAACAGAGCTGCTCTTCACCTGCAGCAGGCAGAGGATGCCCCACCTGCCAGGAGCTGGTCCAGCTTTGCTTCTGCTTGGCCCCAGTTTAGCATTCCTTTCTCCTGCGAAGCCAGCAAGCTGCATGCCCTCCGGTGAGCAGCTCTCTGCCTGGCTTCACCGTGATTCATCTCCGCACCTCTGTGACCACAGCAGGTGAGCATCACACCACAGGGTGCTGTGCAGCAGGACTGGCATCCAGCACGTGTGCAACAGCCTCTCTCATTTCCTGGGGCAAGAGGGACTGCTGGGTGTTACAGCTTTGGTACTTTATATCCTTGATAAGCTGTCCATCCCTGGTGGCGACAGTTCTATGTTCACTCCATGGTGAGACCAACCCTGTGACGGCTCTGTCTCCTGCACAGAAATGTCGGTGGTCCCTGGTAGCTGGTTGTCCCCCTGCCCTGAGGACAGAGCTGGTGGCTGAAGTCATGCTGCAGAGCAGTGGGGATGCTGAGCCTGAACTGGTGCAGATCAGGACGTGGGGTGTGATATTGTGTGGAGAGCAGTGTGAAGAGCAGTGGGAGGGATCGATGCTGGTGAACGCAGGGTGTCCTTCGCTCTGCTGTCCCATGTGCAGAGGGCATGGAGGTGATGGGGCAGCAGCCAGGGATCTGTCACTACCACTTTGAGCAGCCCTCGGGGAGGCTCCGCAAAATGTCCTCCAGGTTCTGCTTGTCAGCCCGGATCTCGACCAAGTCACTCTCGAATGCTTGGATCTTCTCCTGCTGCCGCGCAGCCTCCTGCTGCAGCAGGCTGAGCTGCCCAGCCAGGGCACCCGGCGCAGCCAGACGCTGCCACAGCCGCTCCAGCTGCAGCTGCCCAGCACTCAGCACCGCTTCCACCTCCGCAGTTTGCTCCAGGTTACCTGGGCAAGGGGACAGGACATGGATGAGAGGCAGAGAGCCGGGCAGGAGAGGCTCTGGACATGCTCCGGAAGCTCAGACCCTTGGCATCAGGCAAACTGGGGGGAGTGGGTGCAGCAGGGCATGGAGGCATTGCAGCTTCCCAGCGATCACAGATAAGCAAATATGACTCTGGCTCCAGGGAGGCCCTGGGCATGTCTCTCTTACAGATGGGTGATGATTTCCACCCCTTTGCAAAACTTCTCAGATGCAAGAGTCCTGGAGTGCTCAGAAATGCACCCAGATGATCAAAGCAGGAGGAGCTGGAGCAAAACCAACCAGCAACAAGGCATGAATCCAGCCCAGCACTTCCCTCGGCTCCAGAGGGACTGAGCCCTTGACCCAGCCCTGCTTCTCCTGGAGATGCCAAGGGAGATCAGTATCCCCACATCAGGTGTGAGCATACACATTCAGCAGGCACTAATTCATTCTGCACAAGGGCTTTTCTTGAGACATTAGCCCTCAAGAAGCTTTGCTAAGACCCTGAGTGGTCTCAGCTGAAGGGCACCCGGCTCAGCCCAGAGTGGCCAGTGAGCAGGAGATCCAACAGCCTGGCCCTTCCCACCCAGGTCTCACCTAGGCTGCTCAGCAGGTTGTTCAGGGTCTCAATGTCCGAGATGAGCGAGCCCCGGGCTTCCTGGAGACTTTTTGCCATTTCACTCACCTCTGTCCCCACCTTCCAACACAGACAAGACACCCAGATCAGGGACATCATTGACATTTGGCTGGATGGGAGAGGAGAGGGAATCCCAGGAACATCCCCAAGGCATTCCCCATACGCTAGAGCCCAAAAGCCAGGATGCTCCCTATACTTTGGGCTCTGGGCAAAGACTCTTCCAGGATCTGGAGGACACAACCTCCCTGAGGGGACCCAGCTCACCTGGTGTGCTTCCTCTAGGTTCCCCCTGAGCTTCTCAGCCACATGCTTCTGCTGGGAGAGCTCCCTCTGGGTCTTGTTGGCATGCGTGGCGAGCTGGCTGGCATGTGTGAGGGCCTGCTTGCTCTTCCGCAGCACAGCCTGTGCCCTCTGCAAAGGGATGGAGATGGGGACAGTCACCTGGGGAGACGCAGGGAGACCGCAGCTGGCTCCTAGGCTGGAGCCCTATTTGGGTCCACTCCCCTGGTCTGCGCACAGACAAGGGTGGGCTGTGCTGGCTGGGCAGCAGAAGCTGTATTTGGAAGCTCCCTGCAACAGGTTTGGCTCTGCCTGTGGTGGCTGCCAGCCTGGCCATGCCCCACAGCCCACCATGGGCTCCCTGCACCCCACATCCCTCCGCCTGGACCTTGGCACTCTCCCCAGAGACTTGCTCAGCCTCCCCAGCCATCCTCCGGGCTGTGGTGGAGATGGACAAGGAATTTCCCAGCGTCTTCTCTGCCTGTTTAAACTTCCTCTGGGCATCCACCATCACCCTGTCCCGCACAAGTGTCATCCTCCTGCTCAGGGCAGCCTGGCCCTTCCGATGCCCCAGCGCCTTCCTCATGCCTGTGGGGACAACCTGGCTGTCACCAAACTGGCTCTTTCTCCCCTTGTTATCCAGAGCCAGTGTGGGGACAACCGAGCTGTGGCTGGAGATGCTCTGGCGAGTTAATTTTACCTTCCAAGCTGGCCAGGAGGGACTCCGCATCAGAGAGCACGGCTTTTCCATGCACGACGGCCGAGGTGGCTGTGCTGTGGGCAGAGCCAGCCCGGTCCTGCAGCTGGGGAGAGGAGAGGAGAGCAGGAGTGAGGCTGGAAAGGGAGAGAAGAGCTGAACCCAGCTGGGAATTGTGGGTCCCAGCCCACTCCTGCTCATCAGGCAAACTCCTTGGGAGATCTGGGAGCCTGAGGGGAGATGTCTCCCGAAACCCCCTGGCTGCAGCGTGGTCCCTCTGGTCACTGGAGCAGTGGAGATGGGGCTCAGCCACCCCCCTGTGCCCTGGGTGGGAGGCAGGAGAGGGATGCACCCAGCATGCCCACAGCTCTGGCTCCAACAGGGTTCCCCCCATCACTTATTTTGCAGGGACACCCCACGCAAGTAAACAGCAATTACCTCCTCGAACCCACGAGTTCTCTGCAGCTCCTGGCGCAATCCAGCTGTCAGAGTGCGGGACATCTCGATGGCCTGCTGAGCCAATGGCTCCTGCTCCTCCACTGCCT